GTTTTACACATTTTTACTGTTATGATTTTCTTCTGTTTTCTTACACTTAATTTTCTCTTTCTTGCTGCTGCCCAGCCTTAGTAAAGTGTATTGATACAAGGCTATATTAGGAGTTGGCTTTACATTGGACTGTATTACCTGAAATGAAAAACAAAGAGGCTGATTTACTAAAGGATTAGAATCACGACAGTTATCGAACTGTGTGAAAATAAATCCGTTTACTTATTTCATCAGTTTCATGACTGGATAATTGAAGTTAACACAATTTATTGTGTTAACATAATCCACTCCTTTAGTAAATCAGCCTCAAATTGTCTTTGCCTGTACTTGATAGAGCAATCAGACAATTTTACATGCTGGTAAATAATTGAATGTGCTTTTGCATTCATTTCCTATTTGTACATTGTCCTAACCCATTTGGTTAATGTTGGTGACAACTTAATCCTCCCTTGGTCAATGCTTTTTTTTTTTCTTTCAGAGGGTCCATGCTTGGTCCACACCATCACTGGAGATCTACTCAGAGCACTGGAGGGCCCAGAGAATTGCTTGTACCCTCGTTTGATTTCTGTTTCCAGTGAGGGTCATTGTATTATATATTACGAGAGGGGGCGATTTTGCAACTTCAGCATTAATGGCAAGCTTCTGGGCCAAATGGAGATCACTGATTCAACTAGGGTAGGTGATGATATCCTTTTTGCTTTCAGGATCTTCATTCTAAAATATTGAACTTCAAGATTTATTAAAAAGTGTTACTGTACCACCAATAGACTGAATACTGGTAACTCAGCTTAGTGTAGGTCTTTTGCACTTATTGTGTTCAACCTTTTATGCCTAATGTTTAGCAGTGCATTACCAAAATTCAGTATTTGACTCACCCAATGAAACATTATCTGGTATCTTTATGCCTAGTGTACATATTTGCTTGTTTGGTGCACTTGCTAGTTCTTAAAATCAACCCCTCAGAATTTAACAGTTTCTGCAGGCCATCGGATAAGGGAAACACTTTTTAGAACGGTAAATTATGCTTTAAACATGTAGTTGTTGTTTTGGCATACCAACATTCACCCTTAAAGCCCATTTCCACCTTTGCGGAGGTACTTTAAAAAAAACATGCCAGCAATGTACACCGAGTGTACATGAAGCAGGCATATGCTAATGCTGTATATGAACACAGAAACATGAAACTAGTTTCCTCTTCATATACTCATGGAAATGGATGCCTCTGTGTTTTGCAAGCAATCTGTGTACATTACAACTCAGCTCCCCCCCATTCATTATTATTCATAATGACTACGTTATAATTCTTGGCGGTCCTGTTTGCTGGTAGAATTGCCATGTGCATCGCTGGAAATTCGTGTTGGTGACTATGGCTGACAAATGACACCCTATAGCCCTAATGCATAAAAAGTGTTTGTGATACCAATAGCAACCATCCAGCACCTCCCTTCTTATTTCTAATGGTTGCCCCAGGCCACACTGTTAAGTTGAAGAAAGCCCAGAAACAATGGTAGGCTGTTCATACAGGTGGCTAGCCACGGATCCAATTGTTTAGGTTCTCTACATTTATTAAAAAGTGGAAACTCCTTTAAGTTGTTTAAGAAACAATAACCCTGTTTCCTGCAGCACAACGTGAATCTGTATTTTCATGGGAAAGTAAGATAAAAAGAAAAGACAGCTTAGCCTCCAATTTGTTACGGTGCTGTAAACTTTATGAAGATAAACATCCAGTTGATTCAGACAGAATATCAGTGTCGTAGAATAAAGAAAATGATCTTAAACATCAAATTGCCATACATGTATAATAAATAACCATGGCTCATAAATTTAGAACGCAATATGGCCCCAAGGATCTCCTTTATTGCCAGTGCTCTCATTCTGGCCGGAGATCTTTGCCCAGCCAGTAAATTGTCATTCTTGTAATGCGCTGTCTAAATGTTTTGCCATAATAATTAATCTCATTGAAACGGCTGTGAATGAATGCTATGTTCTTTTTCATCTAGGCCATCCTTCTGAGCAGTGATGGCCAGAACCTTGTGACTGGTGGAGATAATGGTGTTGTAGAAGTCTGGCAAGCTTGTGATTTTAAACAGCTCTATATTTACCCCGGCTGTGATGCGGGCATAAGAGCGATGGATCTGTCACATGATCAAAGGTGAGTCTGCAACTATGTATATCTCAGTTTAATGTGCACATGGAAAAGTTACTTAAAATTTTAAAATGTCCATTTAGCTTGCTAAATACATTATAATGCGAAGTCTGTAATTAACAAGCAAGGGGACTACCATCAGGTCCACTGCTACGGGCCTAAAAGTAAGGACAACCCATTATTTTTGTGCTCTGATCTATGCAATCCTGCCTCCCATCAGTTTGTACACTACATCCCCAGTCTTGATATTGACCTACACAGGGAGCATTGGCACTGTGTTCAGTAGTGTTTGAGCTACCCTAAATTTAGTTTTTGGCTCAAAGTGAAGAGTTCTCAGTTCTGAACAGTTGTCTTAGTGTTGTGTTCTGGCCCTACGATTTTATACTTATATAGCGTAATAATCAGTCTTCAAAAGTATGCCACCCATGTAAACACCTAGAATACTGATCTCTCCTGCTATCTATACAGGTGAAACTCGAAAAATTAGAATATCGTGCAAAAGTTCCTTTATTTCACTAATGCAACTTAGCCGTCTACCAGGAGATTTTGGAGCACTTCATGCTTTCTTCCGCAGACGAGCTCTATGGGGATGCTGACTTAATTTTCCAGCAGGACTTGGCACCTGCCCACACTGCCAAAAAATTTCTGAGATTGTGGATCAGGGTTTTCATGAGCTGTAAGCCATAATCATTACAATTATGACAAATCACGGCTTGAACTATCTTGCTTTGCATGTAATGAGTCTATCTCATATATTAGTTTCACCTTTTAGGTTGTATTAGTGAAATAAATGAACTTTTGCACGATATCCTAATTATTCGAGTTTCACCTGTAGTGCTGATCACTGCTGTATGTGGCCCAAATACTATAGGTAAAGTCGCTAAAAATTCATCCTGCCCATTCATTTACCTTGAAGCTGCCATATACACTGAGTGGCCAGATTATTATGACCACCCCATCAGTACTTAGTTGGGCCTTGAGATGACTTTGTTGGGCCGCCTCATAAACCACGAGATGCGAGGAATCTGACACTGCACTGTTGCCCTTCTGTTGTCTTGTACCAGTCTTGCCACTCTCCGTTCTGCCCTAACATTGACTAGTCGCTGACGGCCACAATTCGCACGTTCAGACCCAGATTTTCTGCTGACAGTCCAGTCTTTAAACACTTTAACAACAGCTGAACATTTAACGAATTCTGCTGTTTTGCTGATACTCGCTCCATGGCTCCGAGCACCAACAATCAGCCCACGTTCAAAGGCTGTTAAATCGCGTTGTTTACCCATATCTTCAGAAACAAATAACTTCTACTGTCGTGGTAAACAACCTGCTTCTCTATTTATAATGGTCTGGCCCTCTAGCAACTTCAGCGCCAAATTATAGCTAATTTGCCTACAAACGTCAGGTGGTCATAATAATCTGCCCACTTAGTGTATATGCTTAAAGCGGTTCTTCAAACTCCCGACCAACTTACTCTCTTTCTACTCCTGCCAGCCTCCTTTCTCACAATCTGATATTTAACATTGATTTATGGTTTTTAAAAATACCTTTTCTGGGGAAACCTCCTCACAGTTCCTGTCTCACTTAGATGAGAATGATGTACGTGTTCTCCATTGTCTCCTGGGATACCCACATCACACATCCCAGGAGGCCTCAAGGTACTCTACATGCATGTGTCACAGTGTGTCATCAGGGAGCCAGCCACAGGAACCTGGAAGAGATAGCCGGCCCTCTTATGACATCAGAGAGGAAGATAGTTGCATGAGATCTCTACAAAACACCGCTGGATCACTGGGTGGGTGAGTATGTTCTTTCTGCATAACTCAGCAAGAGGTAAGAATGATGGGGGAGTAGTGAAGTTCCTCTTTAAATATGTTAGTGTCACTTAGACTAAAAACTCTTCTAACAGGTGAGGAAAAGTGGGGATGATGAGAGTATTACTGCTTTATCTCTTCCATAAGTTTAGTCTACTTAACATCTAAAAATATCCTAGAACTAAAAACAAAGATTTGATTGGATGACTTGTGATCATGTGTGTTTATGAATCCAAGGGTGCGATGGGCTTTTATTGTTTTGCTTGTTAATATTACAGCATTGCCATTCCTGTACCTGCTCTGTACTGTTATCGCTAATGGCACAACAAAGGAAGCATTCCATGTGCTTATGACTCCTCTTTTGTTGCTTGACTTCATATGAATTCATGTCTATGCTCTGCCAGCTGTCATTCCAGTGTCCAATGAGACTGCCTGCCAGGAAAAACACCCTCACTGGACAGGATGATGGCAGTTAGTGGAGCTTAGCCATGAAGTCGGGCAGTGGTAAGAAAGTGAAACTGAGTCAGAGAGGAGCACAGAAGAATCTTTTCCTATTGATAAAGACAATTGTGGCAACTTGTGATATGTTATTAGAAATTATGTTTACTTTTAAAACTTTCAAATCAAGCACCGTTCATTTTAATGTCTTAAATCATTAATTAGCAACACTTTCAAAGAGTATCCCTGCTGCTTTTTTCTCACATTCTTTATGCAGAATAATCTCTGTTGGAAAAGATTTGATATGAAGAGAAATTCATACATGATTAAAGTTAAATCCCAGGCAGATAAAAAGACACAAATTCATGCAGCTCTGTATTCGCTAATCATTTAATGTATTTGTTCAAATGCAACTACTACATGTACCTGAAGATGACTTCTGCAATCCGCTGTAAAGTGGCACTCAAACCAGGTGAAGTACGGGCATGGCTGGGAGCTTATCAGGAGTTCTGCATGGAAATGTCCTGACAAGGAACATGCTAATAGGAGGGGAGAGCAGAGCGATCAATGGGATGCCCTAATCACTCCCTGACTACTCTTTCACTGTCCAACCAGCAGGCTGGGGGGTTGGGAGAAGACACCACTGTATTCTGTAAGCAGTGTCATCCACTTGGCTGTGCTGTGTGAAAGGACAGTTTTGGCAATTACATCGCTCCATTCTATGTATTTCATCTTTGTATTTAGCTGTTTGCCTGGAGTATAGCTTTAAAGTACTTTTTTTTGCTTTTGATATACTGTATCCTACTTTTATATATTGCAATAGACACAAGGAATAAACAGTTCTTGATCTGTTCCTTTTTCTTCTCTCCTTCCAGGACCTTGATCACTGGCATGGCTTCTGGTAGCATTGTAGCTTTTAACATAGATTTTAATCGGTGGCATTACGAACATCAGAACAGATACTGAGGTCGACTGAAGTGCTGAATGCCAAGTTTTCATGTTGAGAGCACAAGCGCTGCAGTTCCTAGGCGTTGTCACCTCCAGTGGAAAAGCAAGTCTGCATAGAGCTCCTCCGTTGTACATTCCATTACACCCAGCAATAGCTGTACATTGTAGTCAGCAAAGCCACTTTTCATTGTGTTTCTTTTTCACAACTGAACACCAGCTGCTGAAGGCACGCCTGTACCATGCACACTGACAATGAAATGGAGTCTCAGAATTATTTCAGTTTTCATTCTTTCTGATAAAGCTGGCGGGACACACTGCAAAAACAAGACATTCTGGGAAAGACTGTGTGTCCAAGCTGCGATGGTGTTTAGTCCACACGTCTTACATCCCATTTCCAGCCTCTTTTCAAGCTGTGAAAAAAATTTAAAAAATACACACAAAAAAAATATGTTTGATACTTTGTACATCAGATGCACATCTTTAACTTTAAAAGGGATACTTTTGTAAAAGTAAAACCTTGTATAAAGAACAAACAACAAAAAAAGTTCCTTAGTTTTATCGTGAAGCTAAAACCGTGCTTGTACTTTAAACCTGACAGAGCAGGAAACGTAAACGTATTCTGGAAATGTAAAAAAAAATAAAAAGGACACGGCTTGCTTTAAAAGGTTGAATATGGGTCTATCCAACATTTACACCAAAATATGCTTTGCACTTTGTGTTTTTTTTTTCGTTTTTTTTTTCTTCCCTTTCACGTCAGATCCCATAACTTCGTAACATAGGGATATGAAGCCATGGTTTGCCATAAATCTCTCACACTTGCTGTACCTATTTTATTTATGATCATTATGAAAAGAGAGATGAGGCAACAATTACATATGCCCTGATGTTTTCCCCCGGAAAGGGTATTTATATTTCACAGTGCCGAACTACTCCAGGTTTTGACCAGAAATGAAAACTTCTCCACGGCAAACAGGTAGCAAAGGTCAAGGAAGAAAGGAGGTGATTTATTTGTTTTTATTTGAATTAAATTGCCTAGGCTATAGCCAACAACAAACAAATGGTGTCGGTCTACCAAGATGCAGTGACGGCATCACCAAAAAGCCAAATTCTTAGCCTAAGACACAGACGATGCTGTGCGTTTTATGCTACTGCAGTGATGGCTGTCAGGGATTCCTGCACAGTATACTGTTAAAATGATACATCCAGGGGTCAATCCACTTGTTCTTTATTTGTATATTTAGTGACTGTATTGTCATAGATGTACATATTGTGTCAGTAGGGCTATGAGGCATGTAACAGGAATGTAATTTTCTCAAAAATCTACACACACTTGCAGTCATTTATTTTAAGAGAAAAAAAAGTCAAATAAAAAAATAATTTGTATTGGCACTTTGCACCAGAAACATATCATTATTTATTGATGTGATTAATTATCTGTTCATCACCTTGTATTAGTAAGTTTTACCACTGAGTTTCTTCTACATTGTTGTTTGTATTTAAAAAACGGAAAAAAAAGAGAAAAAATGGATTCCGAGACATTTGCGGAGTCTGCGTAAATATTAAGTTATTCATCTGTCTGTAAGCAATATCTTGAGTTGTAGATTTAGAATTGGAGGATATCGAACACCTGGAAGACAAATTCATTTAATCTTGAAATCATGGTGAAATATTTTGGATATATCAATTCCTTAAGCTATTGTAACCATGTTTTATTGCAAAAATGTAAAATATGCCAGATGTGTTCAGTTGGAAATAAAAAAAAAAAAAGAATTGAGGAAAAAAAAAAAGAAAAATAAAATATGCAAACAACCAACTTATTGTTGTGCTTTTTTATCATTTTGCTTTTTTATTCTATTTTTACAGCTGATAAATGTTGATCTGTATATACACATTAACTAGATGATGTCCGAATTGGTCTTCACTCCACTTTTTGGAAAAGTATACCTATTAATGCCGTTCTTGTTTACACTTTGTGTAAACTGGGCGTGACTAAGGGATTGGAGTTTGACATGCCAGACAGCATAAGTGAGCCTGGTATTTTACCATGGGATACATGTCAGTGTGCATCAATATCTTTCCATCAAGTGAAGTCTGATAAAAGGAGGGACTGACACTACTTTGTGGGGCCCACTCTCATTTTCATAGATTGCCTGAACATTCTTTACATATGCTTAGGTAATAATATATTTTTAAAGCACATAATGGGCTATAACCAGCTTCTACAAACACCCGTTTTCTGTAGTCTTGGTAGTGAGAAGTCAGTCACAACTGTGTCTGCTCTGTAAGTCACTTGGGCTTCCACTTGTAAAAGACCAACATATACTGTACAGTAGGAATTACCAAAGCTTTCAAAAAAATGTCAACAGCTTTCTTGGAGCCTGCAAAACATCCTTCATCTGCATTTTGGGGATTTAAACAGAGGTCTTAAAGCTGATAAAACTACAGTTTCATTGGGCATCCCCCCCCTCCCACTGCAAGAGTTAAATGCCTACATTATTAGCATGAAAGCCTTTTACTTACCTTATCCCTCGCTTTACTTACCTTATCCCTCGCTTCCCCAGCAGTCAGCTGTCACCTCTTCACTCTGAACCTCCAGGTTTTGGGTGGGCCGCTGGCGTCCTCCTTTGGTGTTCCTGCATTGCATGTGGTGATGTCACAGCTGCAACCACCTTCTGGAGAGCCAAAAAGAAGAGGCTTCAGGGGATCGGTCAAATGGAAGGAGGAGCTTGCAGGAGGGATAAGGTAAGTAAAAAGTCCTTTTACCTGGTATCCTAGGTAAAAATTAACATTTAACCCTTGCAGGGCAAAAGGGAGAGCGCCCCACTGCAGGGGTACTTTTTATTACTTCCCCAGAGTTTACCATTAATTAAAATATTGACTGTACCTGTAAACATGCTGCCAGCAGGCTATTCATAAGCTTTAGTATCATTTGAAACTTGTCAAAAGCTTACTGAAGCCGGCTAGCTGTTTGTTTGAAGTGACAGCTATGATCTGTGGTATTTGTTATGATCTGAGAACACCCCCAAACTAGAGCTGAAGGTAGCCATAAAGAGTTCAAGGAAGACATTCTAAACTTGCTAAAAGCTTTGAAAGTGATTTTTAAAAGCTTGCTGCACATGCCGCTCTATAGAAGGTGAAGCCTCCGTCTACAAGGACTAATGTGCTACAGGAAAATGGAGCTGCTGATCCATTCTGACTGCTATTTGTGCTTTTTCAAATAATTCCGTTACTTTGAATATAAATATGACACTGTGCTATTATGGGCCACTAGGCTGATTGCCAAAAGGCCTTAGGTAGCCAGTGTGTCAGTTTCTCAGTCCGTGTTAATGAAAGATTATTGATAAAATTAGTTAGATGTGGATATATCATAATGAAAAATGTTCAAGTAAATGGTGACGTAATAAGATACCTTGTCACTGAAGTTTAATAACCTGTATAAAGCAAAAGATCATGGAATGCCTTGGCGTGCTCTGTTATCTATATCTCTGTTATAGATTACGCATTACACTATAGTTATGTATCTAGGTTTTCTGTTTCTCAATATACTGTCTGAAACGCATTCATTTTGAAGGACACAGTAGACCCCAGGGATGTATGCTTTACATAGGTAAACACTAAAAAGTTGCTTCCATCTTGGTCACTACACTGTGAGGGGGTATTTATCAAAACTGGAGCAGACAAAATCTGGAGCAGCTGTGCATGGCAACCAATCAGATTCTCTCTTTCATTTTCAAATCTTAACTGAACAAACTGAAGAGAGAAGCTGATTGGTTGCCATGCACATCTGCTCCAGTTTTTGTCTGCTCCAGTTTTGATAAATTCCCCTCTGTGTAGTTTTGCCTTTTATTTGGGAACTAGTCCTGTTACTACTTTAACCCCTTTGCGTCCAGGGCCCGTTTAAACACTTAGCCGCCATGACTCTGTTTACATTTGTAGAGCCGGCAGCCAGCTTTACCATAGAAGCAATTCTGGCGACCCAGCTGCCGCCAGATCGCTTCTACGGGCCGGTAAACTGTGTGCAAAAATACGGGGGGAAAGCCTTGGTCATTAAGGGATTAAAACATAGTTATTGAAAACCAGTGATGGAGTTACTCAATTTTTTCCTAACAAATGATTTAAATATCTCCTTTGACAATGTGGAAATACTATTTGTCTTAACAAACCATCAGCAGAAACAAAAGGCCAAGGTCAGAAGTTTAAAAGCATTACCCCACAGAGGTCTACACAGACCTGGTCATATTACAGTGTCATTTTTTTCTTGAAAAATGCACCATCAATTTATTTTCTACACCGGCCTCACATACCCAGCATAAAACGATGTTAGCAGCCACTTGAGTGCAGATTTTGTTTTGAAAGGTCAAAGTTGAATTACATAATCTTTTAATCAAGTAGGGGGCATTCTAGTGTCCTTCCTGGGGCGCCATAAACTGACAGTGTGTTGAATGGCAGAGTTAATATCACTTGACAGTTTGCCAGAAGCCATTCAATTAAAACTTTTTATTTTCTTTAGAGGTTGTTAATTTGTAGATGACCTTATCAGTGAACTGAACAAAACGGATAAAAAACAGCCTAGAAAATCAGTGCTCTGGTATTAGATGGCGTGCATTCTGTAGTATTTTATTGCAAGTCTGTAGTAAAATTCAGCATATGTAGTTGGTTATGTTGATGCAAGGGCTCCGGCCTTTTGGCCTACAAATCCTTTCATTTTCCAATCCAGACCTCGGTGTCATTTTGCATGTCATCTTTACTGCTTCGTTACTCAAAAACAAAACAAAAAGAAATTGCACCAGTAGCCCTGGGCTCCTAAACTCTATGGGGGGAATTTATCAAAACTAGAGCAGACAAAAACTGGAGCAGCTGTGCATGACAACCTCACAGCTTCTGTCTTCAGTTTGTTCAGTTAAGATTTGACAATGAAACAGAGGCGCTGATTGGTTGCCATGCACAGCTGCTCCAGTTTAAACAAATTCCCCCCTATGTGTATCATGCAGTTTCACTTTGGGTTTCCCCCAGTCCCAAAAAGCTAATTGACTTGTGCCTTAAAGTGGAACTGAACTCAGAAAGTGAAGCTTTGCTATGTTATAGGGAACATCTAGAAGTAAGCAGTACCCTGAAAATCGACTTGTCTTGAGTTCCTTATGCTACTATTAAAAAGCATTAAACTGAACAAGAAAAATGCTTGAGTCCCCCATCCACCCTAACCAGTGTGGATGGAGTAATCCCTTCTCCCAGGTATTCAGCAGCCTCTATTATTATTTTTATTATACAGGATTTATATAGCGCCAACAGTTTACAATATAAGGAAGACATTACAATCACAATTCAAGACAAGACGGGAAGGAGGGCCTACAATCTAAAAGGGAGGGGGAAGTGATACATGAGGAGGTAGCTGTGTGGGGATGAAATGTTTGAGAACGTGATGGTTCAGTGGT